ACTTGAAGATATTACCAAATGTTAGAACGCTGGTATTTGTAGGGACTTGAAATATCTAATTGCAGCCTAATCAGAAGCTCCAGACCTTTCATCTGTCAGGGATGGTGTAGACGGAGCTTGGTCCTGCCTAGAGCAGGGGGCTGGACTCGATGACCTCTTGAGGTCCCTTCCAGTTCTATGATTTTATGATTCATGAAAGTGATCCAAACCAACATGCTTCAGTTTGGGCAGCATAATGAGGGTAAACCGCTCTAATAAACTGAAGGGCCCAGTTACTGAAAGTTTTCTATTAATGGGAATTTCCAGAGCACATAGTAATGGAGCTATCGGATAAAAAGCAATAGCACTTTACACTTCAGTAGCACCTTTCACCCACCTTTACAAAGATGGGTATTTTGCACAAGTAAGTGTAGTAAAGGAGTAGGCACTACAGTAGTGAATCAGGCCCCACATTGTAATTAATGCAGAAAGAACCTCAGATTTGTTCAGATAAACATTCACAATTTTATCCAATACTCATCTGAATTTTCTAGGTCTAGACTCTGGACAGGCTATCTCATGTGAACAGGCTTTCTAGCAAGCTTTTTGGTAGTTCTAGGTGTCAGCAATGTTTGAAATGCAATGTACATACCTTTTCTCCTACTATTTTGATTTTTCTACAATTGGCTTTAGCCAAGACAAGCATGCAGAGCCACAACAACTCAAGAGTGCAAATGCACAGTGAGTATTGAGTGAATTCAAATGCATATAGGAAAGGAATTGCATCTGTGATTAGCAAGATGATTCCGTTAGTTTTGTAAAAAACACAGACAGATACCCTCATAAATGTAGCGGTACAAAAACAACTGGCGTTCTGGACTCTCCATCAAAACATGTAATTTTGGCTATGTGATATATACTTCATGGGCCAGTATTCAAACATGTACACATTTCTGGGGACTCATTCACTATGGCTGTGTCTAGTAAGCTGCTTTTGTGGAAAAACTTACTAGCTGTCTACACTGGCTGCTTGAATTTGCGCAAGAACACTGACGATCTAATGTAAGATTGTCAGTGTTCTTGCGCAAATATTATGATGCTCCCACGCGGGGAAAAAGCCCTCTTGCGCAAATGCTTTTGCGCAAGAGGGCCAGTGTAGACAGGTAAAAACTGTTTTGCGCAAAAAAGCCCCGATGGCGAAAATGGCGATTGGGGCTTTCTTGTGCAAAACTGCGTCTGTATTGGCACGGACGCTTTTCTGCAAAAAGTGCTTTTGCACAGAAGCATCCGTGCCAATCTAGATGCTCTTTTCTGCAAATGCTTTTAACGGAAAAACTTTTCCGTTAAAAGCATTTGCGGAAAATCATGCCAGTCTAGATGCAGCCAAGAGGTACATAAGTCTTTGAAAGCAAATATAAATAATGGATGCAGTCAAAAATAAAAGGGGAAATTTTAGGGAAGCAGTTACTCGGTTTACATGTTTTCAGCGTATAGGGCTGCCAGATAGTTTCACAAAAAATAGCGAAAAAAGGCTGCAGGAAAAGTTGTTGAGCAAAAGAAGAAAAAAAAAGGCCCAAATGCAATCATGGCCCCTTTAATTCCCAGGTCGCTCCTCCCTCCCTCCACTCCAGCATGTCCCAAGCGGCCTTCCGTCGGGCACCTGAGCTGGGCCTTGAGAAAAACAGAAAATACTGGACATTTTAGGTCTCTGGTATTTTCTGATTTTTTTTTTTAACCAGACGGAAGGTGCAAATACCAGGCTGTCCAGTTCAATGCCAGACACCTCGCAAACCTATTAGTGGTGGCAAAGTTAGTCTTACCAAAAAGTGACATTGAATATTTATTAGCCATAGGTGAGCAGGTCTTTTGTTTTATATCTTCTTTGTAAGATGGTACTTCCCATAGAAGGGAGGAAAGGTAGCTGCAGTGCTCACTTCCATTCCTGTTGGCTTCAGCAACATCTTGTTCCTTTGAGGTCTTCTGTCTAACCGTGCATGAAGTTTAGCTTGTGGTGGTAGAACTGCAAGTCATATAGGGCTTCCCATCAGAGCAGACCAACACAATCATCAAGGGATCAGCTATAAATACTCACACTCTTGTTAGGTATGTATTGTCATTTTAGAGGCACAAAAAAGTGCTTCTTTGAACTCAACATTGGAAAATATACATTAAAAATAATGTTGGTCAGCTAAGTACTTCTGTTTGCAAGCACGAGAATCACATTTTCCTCAGAACTTTAAGGATATTAAACAAGATTAGGAGCTTTTCTACACACATTCTCATGCTGTAACTATGGTGCTGTAGTTATAGAAATTCAACCTTCTCTTCTTCCTTGTGAGGATGCAAGGTCTCTTGTACAGAAAGGGAAGAGGAATAAGTTATACGACTATAAGGCACATGCAAAGGTTATACCAATATAACTATATCCATTCAAGGAAGGGTTTTTCCCCCCTTGTTTAGCTATTTTGGACAGAAATTAAAAACCTCAACAAAAATTTAAATTGTTATAAAAAGTCTGTAGAGTAGGCCTACAACTGTTCAAAAAGAAAAAAGGAAGGGAAGTTTGTGAAAGGAGTGTCATTTTTATTCTGTAGGTTTCAGACAAGAGTTTTACATTTTTTGTAGGGTTTAAAAGACCAATACACAGCCTCCCCTCTTCCATTCTAGTCCCTCTTCCCTGCCCCTTTTTTTGAGGGGAAGGAGGGAAGAAAAACTGACAGAAAGGGGAGAAAAAGGAAATTTTAAAACCCCTAAGTTTTTCAATAATTTTCAGGGTTTTTAAAACAAACAAAGGAAAAAAACCTTTCCAATGATAAAAAAAAAAGTGGTCTAGACCTTTCGACTCAAGCAAGGTAGCATGTAATGTTTAGCTATGGTTAAGCTGCATTTATCAGAGAGCAAGGCTGGGTATATATCTAATAAAGGAAAACATTCTCACTTCAAGCCGATCAATATTATGATTCTCATATCAATCCATAATATTGCTTTTTCTGAGATTTTAAAGCCTTCTGTATTTACGTCCTCTATTCTTGGTGGCAATAGGCATCTGCAATACTGGGATGAAGACTGGATGTTCAGGCAGGAGACATTATTACTGGAACAACTCAAAAGCAAAAGACAATGTAAAGAAAATCTTAAGTGCCAGAAGATTTCCATGGCAGAGGATTTGAAATGGAACATTTTTGTGGGGGAAGGGGGAGTTGAGGTACTCCCCCAAATGTCATGAATGTGGCTTCTTATTTTCTCATATTTGCAACATGATGACAGCAAAGTGAATAGCATGTCTACTTTATACTACTCAGAATTTCTGAAGCCCTTCAACTTTCAAGGAGTGTCAGAGTTCTGTTATTCTTTGCAAGAAGCAAGGATGTTTTAAAGAGATACATAGAAGCAAAGTGAAAATAACCTCCACAGTTCTATTGCAGAAAGAAAAGAAGAAAAGGGCAGATTCCATTTTTGGTTTCTCCAGAAAGCTTTTTTTGCAACAGGTTTGTTTTGAAAAGAGGCCGTTTTTGTCAAATATTTTGATTGAATGACTCACCCAAGTAGTTACCAATAACTCACAGGCTGGACAGCTGAAAGAAGGCATTTAAACTAAGCTACATCTGGAATTGATGGAACTGAGAGAGATGTACTAGTGGTTGATTTAGTGGGTCTAGTGAAGACCTGCCAAATTGACTGTTGACCCCAACACTTTACCCTGGAGAAGAAGAGTAAGGCAAGTTGATGGGAGAGAGTCTCCCATCAACCCAGCATGGTGTAGGAGTCATGCAAGCAACTAGTTTTAGTTGGTGTACCAAGTTTAAAACCATGACATCTGTAAGTCATGGCAGAGACCATCCTTTCGCAGCTGTCAGCACCTCATTGCCACATATCTTTCTCCAGAATGCTAACTGCTTTTTGGTTTAAGTAAAATGGCAAGTCCCAGTGGGCACCTCATCTTTGCTAAGTCAGCTAGGCAGGGCAGAAGTATTTAATATCTGGAAGGTTTCATTTTAGAAATGAGCGGGTATTGGTGATCTTTTTTCCTAGAGAGGAAGAGAGTCTCACTATTTTGTATCCTAAAGAAGAACAGTATGCTAGGGACGCTAGCCACCATTCCAGGAACAGAAGAATGGAAACTTCAGCTCCATTATTCTGCTTGTTCTTTGAACAGTTTCTATGCAGAAGAATGGGCTAATTCTCGAGGTCAAACTCCAAGTATCTTTTTAAAAGGCTGACAATTATAAGAGCCACTTTAAGTTCTGATTTTTAAAAGCATAGAGGTACACAGTAAGTAGTTAATTACATGATTGTTAAAGGTTTTAATAGACTCCAGCTGCATTTGCTTTGTAGGAGGAATTGCAAAACCCTACTTAAAGATTGATGAGTCCGTCTACCATAATATAACTTCTTGCGTATTGTAAGAAATGGCATCCAAAGGAAATGTGGGTTTTTAGAGTCTAAAATAAGTGGTCTTGACAACATTAGAGATTAGTCCTTTTATTGTTCACATTTGAGAATCCATTTGCAATTTTTTCATGTAATGGTGTTTAGGAGCTAGAAGATTTTGCTACAGTACACAGTCCCACTGCTAAGGGTGTTGGTTTGTTCCAGTTATCTCAAGATTATAGTTCCTAACTCTTACAGCACATTTAGCAGCTCCAAATATGCAACATTAACTCACTATCTTGGCACTTGGGAATTTGTCTATAAAACCCAGATGTTCTAAGACCCAGACAAGTGCCAGTTTACAGATGGTATTAGGCCATGCAGCTTTGGGTCAGGATAACTGACTTCTTGCATATTCGCTTTGATCCCTGGCTGGAGAATTTTGAACTGCAAAGATAGTGGCATAATTCACCCAAGCCTCACAAAAAAAAGCTCCTACCTGATATAATTCCTCTCCCCCAAATCAGAGTTAGTCACTGTTCTAGAATTAATACTAAATAAGCTGTTTTCTTTGGTAAAGTAGTAGAGGATACTGAGTCTTGAGGAAAGCCCTTAAAAAGGACGATACCTTTCTCTCATGCACTTATTGACTAGCAACATTTGCTGTGAATAATGGATGGCCTGGACTCATCATACTCCAGTTTGCTGATCCACATCTGTTAGAAGGTGGAGAAAGAAGGCAGGATAGAGCCACCAATCCAGACAGAAAATTTACACACAGGAGAGGCAATGATTCTGATTTTCATGGTATTTGGTGATAGGTAAGCAACCTCTTTCTGCATACAGTCAGTAATGGCTGCCTACATGGTGCTGCACCATATTAGCATGCAGATCCCTGCAGATATCCACATCACGTTTCATGATAGAGTTGAAGTTGGTCTCAAGGATGCTGCAGGGCTCCATGTCCAGGAAGGCTGCTGGAAAAGGCCTCAGGGCAGCAGAACCTCTTATTACCCAAGGTGATCACCTTCTCATCAGGGAGCTCATAGCTCTTCTCTAGTGGGAGGAAGAGGCAGATGTGGCCATTTCCTGCTCAAAATCCAAGGCAACATAGCACAGCTTCTCCTTGATGTCACTCAAAATCTCCCTCCCAGCTGTGGCAGTGAAGCTGGAGCCCCGCTCTGTCAGGATTTTCATGAAGTAGTTAGATTCTGGCCAACCAAGTCCAGCTGGAGGATAGCATGGGGCAGGGCATAGCCCTCATAGATGGGGGCTTTGAGGGTAACTCCCAGCATCAGAGTCCATTACAATGCATGTGGTGCAGCCAGAGGCATAGCTGGACAGCACAATCAGGATAGCCACGTATAGCTGGTGCATCGAAAGTCTTAAACATGATCTTAGCTATCTTCTCCCTCTTAGGCTGAGGGTAGAGGCAAGCCTCACTAAGCAATACAGAGTGCTCCTTAGGAGCCACCCACAATTCATTGTAAAAGGTGTGATACCCGCTCTTCTCCATGTCATCCCAGTTAGTAACAATGCTATGCTCAGTAGGGTACTTCAGTGTCAGGATGCCCTGCTTATTCTGGGCTTCGTCCCAACATAGCTGTCCTTGTGGCTCATCTGCCTCCATCACGTTCTGGTGCCCACGATGCCCCACAATGGAGGGGAACACAGCACGAGGGGCATCATCCCCAGAAACCCAGCCTTGCACATACTAGAGCTATTGTCTACAACTAGAGCAGCAATCTCATCATCACCCATTGCTATTAATAGGACAGAGGAAGCAGGTCAGTGATGTGCAGGACGGAGTTTTCACATTCAGTGCTGCTGAAGAAGTAATAGGATGAGTATGACCCCTATTTAAAGGCAGCTGGTTTTGAGCAAGAACTTGCCCACCAATCTCCCCCACTTCTCCCTATAGGAGGCATCTTTTTGAGAAATCATTGTCCCACTGGTTCATTGTTCTGTAGGCTGCAGCTTGTGCTCCTATTTGAACAGCTTCTTCACTATCAGCGGTAGCAATTCAAATATTATTGGCCTCAATAGGATAACTGAACCTCTTCTTCTGAACTGTAGCCACTTGCAATTCTCTCTGCACAAAAGGGCTTAAGACCATGGTCACCAACCCATTGATCATGGTCGACTGGTCGATGTGTGTTGGGGACTCAACCAGTCGATCGTGAGGCATTTGGGCCCTCCCATTTTTCCCCCCAAGAAGAAGCCCCCACTGATGCTACCTCTAGTGACAATGGAGGTAGTGCCAGCTTCCTGCGGGGTAGAGAGTAGAAGTCTCACAGCTGCACGCCATGTCCGGGGTTTCAGGAAGCACATGCGCTGCTCCCCTCTCCCCCAAACAGCCAGTGCATTTCCTGAAACACCAAGTCTGTCACCAGCCAGCGACTTCCCCCTGCTGCCTGCCTGCATGTGGAGAGTGAGATTCCCAGGACTGCTGTTGCGCGCTTCCTGAGCAGTTGGAGCTGGCGCAGTCCCAGGACTCCTCCCCGCTCCCCCCAGGAAGGCAGCAGGGGAAGGAGGTCGCCGGCGCGGCGCATTACAGACTCCGC